GGCAGAGGGAGAGGGAGAAGCAGGTTCCCTGCTGAGCAAGGAGCCTGACGCTGGGCTCGATCCCAGGACCCTGGGATCATGACCTGAGCCAAAGGCAGCCACTTAACCAACTGAGCCACCCAGGCGCCCCAAAACAATATTTCTTTCTTTAAAAACTGCTCTTTTAAAAAAGGCAATTACTTTTTAAAAATTAATTTACAAAATAAGAATAAAAACGTAATACTTTGCTTTTTTCATAATATCTCCCTTACAATACGCTAAGGCTTGAAAAATAATGTACAAAAATATTTGTTGTATATAAACAAACGAAGAAACCAGTAAGACAGTAGAATATTTATTTTAAGGTTTCTTTAAACTTAGATCCAACCAGATTTGAAAAATTACTTATGTTTGCTATTGACACTGCCCAACATTATCTGTACTATCCAGACAGAACGCATGGGCATCATCACCTCTTTCCAACATCCAATCAGAAATTACTGTTCCTTCTTCCTTGACAATATCTATTCTACATGGTCTTTCTTTTCCATTTCCACTGCTACTACGTGGATTAAATTCTGATTACCCCATACCTAACACCTCCTACAACCTTCTGAGCTCCCTGACTCCTCATTCCATTTCTCTAATGATGCACATTCACACATCATTGCTAGAGCGATTTCCCTAAAGTCAAATTTTATGTCACACTTCCTACCCTCTCCAAGACCTCTACCATATTCCGAGGGAAATACTCATTTTCTATCAATTGGCTTTTCTAGAAATACCTTTTAATTCTTTCTTTACCTATCCAAATTCTACTCATCTTTCAAAACCTCAAATAATCCCTCCTATGTTCTGTCTGTATTTCTCAGTGCTATAGAACCCTGATTAAGAAGTAATGATTTACTCTCCTGGCATTTATCACTTTTACCTGGCAGTGTTGGTTATCATTACTCATATTACTTATATACATACCTTATAGATACGACTATAAACAGAGGATGGGGACCATGTTCTTTGTTTTCTGATTCCTCCTTTGTGACTTGCTGTTATAGTTTAACAAGGACCAAAATAAGTAATATCCTGTAGAACAAAAATAAGTGCTCTGGGGCCTTAAACTAGGAAGGAACATATTCTTAGAGTCAAAGAAATATAGATCGGGGCACCTGGATGGCTCAGTTAAGCGCCTGACTCTTGATTTTGGCTCAGGTCATGATCTCAGGGTCATGAGACTAAGCCCTACATCAGGCTCCACATTGGGCATGGAGACTGCCTACGATTCTCTCTCTCCCTCTCCCTTTGCCCCTACCCACTCCCCTCACCCCCAGCACTCGTGCACCCGCACTCGCTCTTAAAAATATATATGTATTTTTAATATATCTATATATACTATTAAATATTAAACTATTTCATTTTAAAATATTTTTATTTAATTTTTAAAAATATTTTAAATATTTAAAATTTTTAAATATTTTTACTAAATTTTTTTTTTTAAGACTCTTATTTATTTGACAGAGAGAGACACAGTGAGAGAGGGAACACAAGTGAGGGAGAGGGAGAAGCAGGCCTCCCACCGAGCAGGAAGCCCGACGTGGGGCTCAATCCCAGGACCCTGGGATCATGACCTGAGCCGAAGGCAGGTGCCCAATGACTGAGCCACCCAGGCGCCCCTTTACTAAACTTTTATTAAATTTTTATTTAATATTTTAATAAATATTAAATATTATAAAATAATATTCAGATATTATTTTATATAGATATAGATCAGAAAGGACATCAGGGATGAATTGGCACTTGAGTCCGGTCTTTTAAAATTGACAGGCCTTCCACAAGAAAGAAAAAGTGGAAAAAGCATGTCAGGAGAATAATTATGAACAAAGCAGAGAGAAGTACAAGGCAATTTCCAATCACTGGCAGAGGGGTATCAATGTAGGGGTAGAGAAGAAGAAAATTAAACATTTGCTAAATAACCAGTACTTACAGATTTTCATAATTTCAGGTAAGTCAATCCCTTAATCAAGAGCCTCATTATTTCTTGCTTGAAACAATTAAGAGTATCCTAATTGTCTCTCTGCTTTTGGTATCCCCCTCCCCCTTGCAAACTATCATCCGTATCACTGCCAGATTAATTTTGAAGATTTTATTTATTTACTTAAGAGAGAGAGAGACAGAGATAATGAGAGAGCACGAGCAGGGAGGAGAGGGAGAAGAAGGCTCCCTGCTGAGCTGGGAGCCTGATGTGGGGCTCAATCCCAGAACCCTGAGATCATGACCTGAGCCAAAGGCAGACACTTTAACTGACTGAGCCACCCAGGCGCCCCTGCCAGTTTAATTTTAACAAAACACAATTATGATCCTGAAATGCCTTTGTTAAAATTTTTCAGTGACTGCCAACTATTCACAAAATAAAGCCTAAACTCCTTACCATAGCATTTGGAGTTCTTCACAATTAAGATCTCTCCCAGCCTTGTCCCTCAAAGCCTCTCTCACATCCTTAATTCAAACCATACAAAATGATTTCTCCTGTCTTTTGTACATTTGATACATCTCAAGCTTCCCTTGCTTATGATGGGTTCTGTGCATGAAATTCTCTCACCTCCCAAATTCCACTTAGCAATCTTTCACTCATCTTTCAAGAGTCTACTCAAGTATCATTTCCTATGTGAAGCCTGTCTGACAATTCTCTCCTCTAACAGTGTTGAAACTTTTCCAATTTCATATAGCACTTTTCCAACTGCACTTGAATTAGCTGTTTGCATACTCCTCTCTAAGCAGACTACATCAAGAGCAAAGCAAGGAACCCATCTCACTGAACATTTTGTATTCTCAGTGCCTAATAACATAGTGCCTGACAGGGGCGCCTGGGTGGCTCAGTTGGTTGGGCGACTGCCTTCGGCTCAGGTCATGATCCTGGAGTCCCGGGATCGAGTCCCACATCGGGCTCCCTGCTCGGCGGGGGGTCTGCTTCTCCCTCTGACCCGCTTCCCTCTCGTGCTCTCTGTCTCTCATTCTCTCTCTCAAATAAATAAATAAAATCTTTAAAAATAAAAAATAAATTTAAAAAACCCATAGTGCCTGACATAGAGTAGGTATTTAATAAATGTTTACAAGGAGAAGGAAATGAATGGATGCAGGCAAAGGTATTACTCACTTAATGCTATACTGTTAAGAGACTTTACTACTAGAGTAGTTTGTCCTTACCTTGGCAGGCCAAAAAAGAGTCACTGACAGTACATGCAGAATTATCTTTCAGAAAATTTCAGCTGGCAGTAACATGGAGAGGGAAATGGAGTGAAGAGAGGCACAAAGCTGGGAGAGCCCTGCAATATTTTAGGTGAAATGTAACAGAAGGGCCTAACCTTGGATGGTGATGCGGGGGACTGGAAAAGAGAGGACGGAAACATTCACGGCACACTACAGAGGTCAATAGATGAGAATGGATCTCAGACTGAGGGCAGGAAGGAAAAGATGAGGAATCAGATTCAGCACTGAGACTCTGAACATGGGTGACAGAGAGGTCCAGTAACAGACATGGGAACCCTGGTGTGAAGCAAGCAGCTGGAAATATGGGCCCAAACGTTAGAGAGAATGTCACAACCGAGATGTAAGGTTGAGAGAGATCACTTTAGAGGTGACTGTTGAAATGAGATTAGGAAAAACCTAAAGAAGAAACAGAAAAATTTCAAAGATAAAACCTTGTGGAGGTTGTTATTTAAGAGTAGGAGGAGAAAAAAAAATAATTATGAAGGCGTAATTGAAGAAGTAGAACTAGAACACAGGGTCACAGAAACAGAGAGAATTGCAAAAAAGGGAAAATGGCAACTACTACAGTGATCAAAGAGTATGAAGCCTAATAAAACACAATTAAAAAGTCATAAGTATTTTTCAAAAGAGCAAAGACACCAGTGGGGCAGGGTGAGAAAAAAGAGTGCGCGCTAAGAAAGCATCAGCGGGGAGCAAAGCCAACTACTCCAGGAAGAAAAGAACAGACCACTTCATAGTGTATGTCCTATTCATTTTTCCAAAATACAGATCCCTGAAGAATTCAAACCTTTTCCCTGATAATCTGAGTCTGTAAATTGATTGAAAATAATGAACTTGACTTCTCCATACATACAGTCTTAGAATAGCTTCTTCTCTCCCATCCCTGGTGTTAATGCAGTTTCCACTTCTTTAAATAAATTCTACCTCCAAAGATCTACATTTTACGACAACATTTTTATTCTGAATTCTATAATGTGTGAAAGTTTCAAAATAATATAAACATGCATTTTTTTATATAATCCACCATTCTGAACTCTGCTTGGTCATTTTTAGAGGGAATAAATATATCTCTATATATCATCTAATGCTTATTTTCTATAATTAGAGTGAAGAAAGTGCTATCAATAATAAATAAGTATCTTTTATTCCTGAAGAGGTTCAACATTTATAAGAAGAGAAAAAACATATTAGAACTACTTATGAACTCATAAGGAGGTCATTAAAGAAACTAAAGAAGCTAAAATAAAGTTGCCGCAGTAATACATACAGAAGGACTATTTTCAATTTTTTTCTTCCTTCCAAGATTTTATTTAAATTCAAGTTAGTTAACATATAGTGTAGTACTGGTTTTAGGAGTAGAATTTAGTGATTCATCACTTAACACGCAACACCCAGTTGCTCATCCCAACACGTGCTCTTCTTCTTAATGCCCATCTCCCATTTAGCCCATCCCCCCACCCACCTTCCAGGACTATTTTCAATTGTTAACAAATGAAAATGTCCACATTATTCTAATTATTTTCTTAAAATTCTTTTCCTGGGGCACCTGGGTGGCTCAGTCGTTAGGTGTCTGCCTTTGGCTCAGGTCATGATCCCAGGGTCCTGGAATGGAGCCCTGCATCCGGCTCCCTGCTCAACGGGAAACCTGCTTCTTCCTCTCCCACTCCCCCTGCTTGTGTTCCCTCTCTCGTGCTCTCTCTCTGTCAAATAATAAATAAAATCTTTTAAAAATAAATAAATAAAAGTCTTTTCCTTACCTCAGAGATGTGGCTGGATAAAACTGTACTTCCAATTTTCTCCAAACAGCTTTGACCTATGCTTCCATCTCATGAATTCCAAGACAGTATTAAACTGATGCATATTTTCATCAATCTGTTAAAAAAAAAAAAAGAACTTAAACTAAAAGAAACATGTGGAAGCAATACTAAACATTTGTCAGGTGTAAAATTATACACTTTTGATGTAAAGTCAATGAAAATTCTAAAGTACTTTAACCTATCACTTTACCATTTTCCCAACCTCTGCACAAAGAAGTTTCCCATTTTGCATATTTTCAACTTCACAAACGTAACAATAGTTCTGTGGAAAAAATTACTTGCATGTAAAATTTCTGTATTAGCTTGAAAAACAGGAACAGCTAGAAGCAGCACTAAAATTTATAATTCTACAATATTCAAATTCCTACTTAGGCAAAAATATATTTGACCACTCACCTAATATCCCTATTTTCACTTTTTATCACCAAAATCTCAGTAAGCAGTTTTAATTCCAGTCAACCTTCTACCTCGAATATTAAGAACTGGAGGGGTCAGGAATTAATGGCACTGCTTGGTCTAAGCCCAGGGGATAGGTTACAACTACATTACCCCTGACATTTAGTTCCCCTGCTGCTTTGAGACAGAGTTCATAAATCTAAAAGAGGGAAACAATAAAAAATTTTGATTTAAAAAGGCATGTTGTTTACTTAGAGATTCTAAAAATAATTTTGTTGAATGTATCTTTTAACTGAAACTTCAAATAGCAAAGTACTGTTTCATATTTTAAAAGGAAAAATTTTAAGCTGTGTGAACACTACCTGTGTCCCACTGCAAGGTCAAAATGCCTTTGTCTTCAAGTCCATTTAGAAGTATCACTTGTGTCACACTAAGGTTTAGTAGTCTTGGCAATAATGACTGAATTCATGTAAACTGGGGCAACCTGAACCGGTCTAGCATATCAGGTAGCAGCCTTTCTTAAACACAAGAGTCTCCACTCGGCAGACAGGCTGCCACAGGACCATGCTAAATCTTTCATGGTCCAACTAAAGACAGACTGACCCTGAAAGCAATTAGTAATGCTTTGTCTGCATGCAGGAGCCTTAAACAGTCTTCTCAATGCACCAGTTACCCACAACTTAACTGGGTACTCACAGGACTATAAAACTCTGAGACCATCACTCAGAGAAGTGAGGGCAGGAATGGAGATATGGTATTTAGTGATTTTTTCCTGAGATGGTCACAGTCTTAAAAAATGTCCCTTAGATAATCAAAAAATAAATGCACTGTGTTTTCATTTTAGAAATGACAAATATCTTCCTCCAAAGCCACTCTCAGCCAACAACTCCATTCTTCCCTAACAGTGTATGTGGAAGAAAAGAGGGAAGGCAATCACCGTATTAAACAAAGCTCAGATTAACCCATCCTCATAAAGGTTAAAACAATCCATCAAAAGGACTATGTTTAAAAATATATGGCCCGATTCTAATTTTACTAGTTATTTCCAATGGATCAAATAAAATTTGACCATCTACTAATCATTGTTTATCACGGCACTACTTATTACAACACTATGAACTTGTGTTTAACCACCACAAAGATCTAGTCAAAACAAAACACTAAATGAGTATAATAATAATTTTCATCAAAGATTTTGTGTCTAACAACAGAATAAGTGAAAAATCAAACCTTTCTAGATATATTCTAATGTTTTATAATTGAGCTAACATTAGAATTTCCTCAAAGTTCGTAAATATTTGCAAACAAATATGAAAAGTGCATTTTAATCCCACATTACCTTTACAAAATACCTTTATTTGCCATCAAAATGTACACAACCCTCTTGGGCTTTCAAAATTATTAAAGTCGTTAAACTTTAAACCACCAAGGTACTTAAAAGATCATTAACCATACAGAACCCATCAGTGACAAACGTCAACTGTGGATATTATAGTTATCTCTGACTCTGAGGTGTTAGAACACCACCCATTCACTTTTATATTAGTAAGATTTGCTTTATAGAAAAGAACAGTGTACATATGCTTTTGATAAATACACTCAGTCTAAGATAAAATTTAAGATTACTTTTGAGTCTGTACCAGATGTCAAAAAGTAGTCATTTCCTAGTATTCACAAACTCAGCAATACTGACTGCATACTTTTTCTTTCCACCACTCCAAACACCCTCCTCCTCAACAGCATTTCTCTTCTCTAAGCACCCATAAAAAGTACCCCAAATATCATACAAATACTGCTGTTAACACTATCACTGCATTCATATAACCCTTTAAAAAAATCAGAACCAAACTACAGAATATTTGACAAAACATCCCAGCTGGGCTCTTAAACTAAAGGCATTACTGTTAAAATTTTTAGTACATTAACTGGAAAATTCAAACATCATGCTTCAGAAAAATATAATACAGTTTTAGCTGTAAGTAATTCAAATGAACAGTATAATTTAGGCTTATCATGCACTTCTATAATAAAGCAGGTAACCACATAACACAGAAGGGGAGGGTCAACTTATGGATGGGTTGTGTTTTTTTATTTATTTATTTATTTTAAGATTTTATTTATTTATTTGACAGAGAGAGACACAGCGAGAGAGGGAACACAAGTAGGGGGAGTGGGAGAAGCAGGCTTCCCGGCGAAGCAGGGAGCCCGATGCAGGGCTCCATCCCAGGACCCTGGGACCATGACCTGAGTCGAAGGCAGACGCTTAACGACTGAGCCACCCAGGCGCCCCGGATGGGTTGTGTTTTAAAAGATCACTTATAACTTGAATGTAAGCTTGATTTTCAAACTTAAGATGCCTTTCTCATAAAACCAAAAGTATAAACAGTAATATTAAACCTGTAATGCAAATGAACTACAGTACACAATTCTATCATAGCACTCTTCTTAAGCATATTTCCATACCAAACTCTAACTTTTTATTCATTGTTGTAATTCTAGAATCTAGCACAGCTGATGACACAGGGTAGGACTTTTTGGTGAAGTACTGAATAGCAACAACTCAATGTTATGAGAAACTGGCTTGTCTAGAAAATCTTACCTATCTTAATTTTATCAGACAACCAAAAGACAAGGGGGAAAAGCTTCTTCCAAAAGAGATACGTGAAAAAGATTCTTAACACCAGGGTGAGAAAGCTCTGATCTAAGCCAATTGTGGCAATTTCCATTCTACCTGCCAATGAGTGGCTTAGCTATAAGCATCTGATGCAATTCCAGCCAGTAAGACAAGAGCCTAAGTTTGCTGGGAAACTAAGCACTGGGAAAAGTGTTTCTGGGAAAGGTTTTTCTGGTTGATGAGAAAAAGACACCTAAGTGGGAGTGCCTGGGTGGCTCAGTCATTAAGCGTCTGCCTTCGGCTCAGGTCATGATCCCGGGGTCCTGGGATCGAGCCCCGTACTGGGCTCCCTGCTAGGCGAGAAGCCTGCTTCTCCCTCTCCCACTCCCCCTGCTTGTGTTCCCTCTCTCACTGTCTCTCTCTCTGTCAAATAATACATAAAATCTTAAAAAAAAAAAAAAAAAAAAAGACACCTAAGTGAAATCATCCCCCCACCACCACCCTTTTTTCCGGGCAACTCTGGGTTTGAGTTTGTCAAGTAAAATGATGGCAGCCATCAAGACCACGAAGGAGGCTACAGCCTAAGAAGACAACCCAACAGATTAAGAATGGTTGCATTAAACGACCGAAAGAATCTGGGTCTTTGGTGATGTTATGCTTGAATAAATCCTAAAACCGTATTACGACGTTGGATCTTTTTATTATTTTATGTTATGTTATGTTATGTTATGTTATGTTATGTTATGTTATGTTATATTATATTATATTATATTATATTGAGTCCTTTTATTGTTTAACCTTTTATTGTTTTCAATTACCCAAAGTAACCCAGCAAATACCATGATTCAGGAACTAATTTACTACATTTATTTCCATGAATTCAACTGTTATTTATACAATGATAACTCACCTAAATATATATCTCAATCCAGATGCTTCTTTTGACCTAGATACATATTTCTGAAGTACTAAATATTAGAAGAAATCAAACAATCAACATACTCAAATCAAACAATCAAAATACCCAAAATGTGGAATTCCACAGAAACAGAAAATAGATTAATGGTTGTCTGGGACTGGGGGTGGAGGGTGGGAATGGAGAAAGACACCAAAATGATGATCTACAAAAGAAAGAAAGGGGCAAATTAGAATTCATCAAAATTAAAAATATTCCTTCTGCAAAAGGCCCTGTTAAAAAGATGAAAAGACAAGATACAGGATGGGAAAAAGATATTTGCAAGCCATATATGTGACAAAGGACCCAACTAGGATATACCAAATCTCAAAACTCAACGTTAAAAAAAAATCACCAAGAAACTGGGCAAACAATATGAAAAGAGATTTCACTGAAGATGATATCTGGATGGCAAATCAGCACATGAAAAGATACAGTCAACAACACTAGCCATCAGGGAAATGCAAATTAAGACCCGGCTGAGATATCACTATATACCTACTGGAACAACTAAAATAAAAAACATGGCAAGAACATGAAGAAAATAAATCTTTCAGACATTGTTGGTGAGAATGTAAAATGGCACAGCCACTTTGGAAAATAGTTTGGAAGTTTCTTTAAAATGAAATACACACTCACATGTAACCAAACACACTCATGGTTGCAAAGAAATGAACATGAATATTAGCAGCAGTTTTATTTTTAATAACCAAAAACTGGAGAAAACAAAACGTCCTTCAAAAGGTGAATGGTTAAACAAACTGGTATATCCACACAACAGAATCCTATTCAGCAATAAAAAGGGGTAAATTTAGTGATACACAAAACAACTTAGGTGAATCTCAAAGGATTAGGCTGAGTGCAAAAAGGTCACATACTATATGATTCCATTTATAAAACACTCTCTAAATGACAAAATCATACAGATGGAAAAAAAAAAAAACCCTCATGGCTGCCATGGTGGGAGACAGCTGTACGTGCAGCACAAGGGAGATCTTTGTGGTGACAGGATCTGTGTCTTGATGCTACACATCTACATGTATTTTTAAATGGCACAGCACTATATATATAAAATGAGCCAATACCAGTT